ACAGAATCCCGGGAAGAGAGACAGTCTTGTCCCAGGAGAGGAAGGGTGTTGGGCAGACAAAAACATTCTTGACAAATGGAGAGATGGCTCAGCAGTTAAGAGCACATACTGGTCATGCAGAGGACCTGAGTTTGGTTCCCAGCATCCACGTCAGGTAGCTCACAACTGCCTGTGACTTCAGCTCCAGGGATTCTGATTCCCCTCTTCTGGCCTCAGAGAGCACTACACTCATGTGCTCATACCCTCCCCACAGACACATATACTTAAAAATGGTAAAATCTTTTTAAAATAATGAAAATAGGGGCTGGAGATGGCTCAACAGTTGAGCACTGGCTCCTTTTGCAGAGGACACAGGTTTGGTTCCCAGCACCTACCTGCGACTAACAGCAGTCCTTAACTCCAGTTCCAGAGGATATGGCTCCCTCTTTTAACCTTCTCCAGCACTGCATGACATGGTGCATTTACACACATGTAGGCAATACACTAATACACATTAAAAAATGAATAAAATAAGTAAAATGATAATAATGATAATAATAATAATAAGTTGGGCTAGGCATGGTGGCCAATAATGCCTTTAATCCCAGAATTTACCTCTGCAGGTGAATCTCTGGGTTTGAGACCAATCTGGTCTACCTAGCAAGTTCCAGGCCAGTCAGGGAGACTCCATCTCAAATAAATAAATAAATAAATAAATAAATAAATAAACACTCCCTATGCTCACTTAAGAATCAGTTAGCTGAGAAAACACTGGAAAATTAAACAGTGGCACTTGCTCTCTTTTCCCAGGTTGTGGTAAAGTGAGGGGAGAACACAGTTTTTAAAATGCTTCCTAATATAACAAGTGGGGTGTGTGTGTGTGTGTGTGTGTGAGAGAGAGAGAGAGAGAGAGCGTGATTAGGCACCATGGAGGCCTAGTGATAATAAAGGGGAATTAATAACAGGACATAGATTCATGAAAGTCTAAATTAACAGAAACAAGACTGATGTACAGTTTTCTAAGACTTCAGTTTAATTGGTTGGTTCTGTGTTAAACTTAGTGTCAATTTTTTCTGCTGAATGTGATTTACTTAAAATATATATAAGTAATGTAATGTAATGAGTGGGGAAATATTTTTTCATATAATCTTGAGAAAGAACTTAAAATTCAGGGGTCTTAAAAGTTGGTCTAGAAAAAAAAATTTTTGAGGGAATAAGGTGGGCCTAGTAGCTCATGCCTTCAATCCCAGCTCTCCAGAGGCAGAGGCAGGCAGGTCTTTGTGAGTTTGAGGCTAGCCTGGTCTACAGAGTGAGTTCCAGCCCAGTTAGGGTGACATAGTGAGACCCTATCTCAATAATAGTAATAATAATAATAATAATAACTCGTGTCACTTTTTAATGTCCTTTGGGCTTTAAATTTTTTTTCATTTGTTCTTTGACTATCTCATAACTGTACACAATGTATTTTGCAGTCATCTCCAACTCCCCACTCCAACTCCCCCAGATCTCCCCCACCATATCTTCTCCCAACCTCATGTCCTTTTTATAATTTTAATTTTTTTTATTTCTGAGAATTTCATACGTGGTATTGTCTTTGCATTATTTCCTTCCCAGTGCCCCACCAACTCCTCTCATGTCTGCCCATTCCCTCTCAATTTCTTGTCCTCTTAAAATAAAGAAGAGAAGAAATTAAGGACAAGATTTTGTATATAAATATATATACATATATATGCATGTACACACAAACACACACACACACACACACACACACACACACACACACATTGCACTGAGTCCATTTAGTGGTGTTCCTGTGTACCTGTGTTTAGGGCTGCCTACTTGGGATTAGAGAACCTGTCAGGGAGCTAGTCCCTGAAGAAAACTGATTCTCCCTCCCTCAGCACCCACTGACTGTAGCACTTCATCTTGAGGTAGGACCCTGAGAAATTTCCCCAGTCCACTTGTTGGCATGTCAGCTGGTTTTGGAATTGTGAAGATTGGGGGCGGGGGGGGGGGGGTCTTAAAACTTGTTCAGTAAAAAAAAAAAAAAAAATTAAGGGGGGAGAGGCATGGTGGCTCATGCTTTTAATCCCAGCACTCAGGAAGCAGGGGCAAGGGGATCTCTGTGAATTCCAGGCCAGCCTGATCTACATAACAAGTTCCAGGCCAGCCAGGGATGTGAGAGCCTGACTCCATAATAATTAACAAAAATAAAAACTTGTATCTCCTTTGGGCTTTTGAGTCACCACATTAAAGAGGTCGCTTCGGTTAGTACGTTGGGGAGATCAGGCACCTCTGATTTTTAACCTGAAAAGAACACCTCTGGGAGGAATGACAGCAAATCCGGGACCACAGCTCCTTTTCTGGAACAAGGGACAAAACCTACGTCCCGTCGCGCCTGCTCTTACTCAGCTTCCTCGGTCAGCACTGTCACACGCATCGCACATGTGCGCTGTGCCTCTGGCTTAAAACATTCCTTGCAAAGTTTCCGCGGCTTGATCTCTTATTGATAGGGCAGCGCTGGTTCCCAACTGCCCTGAAGCATCCCGACCGAGCAGGTTTTATTGCCCCCAGTTACCCCTGCTCTGATAACGCGGGGACGTGGTGAACTTGCTCCTCGTCCCACAGGCATTGCGTGACTGCTGTCCCCGCCGGGGCTGTAAAAGTACAAGGCCGGCACCGCCCTGCAGCACCTGCGTCCGGAGCACGAAATGCGTGCGGCGTGGAGGCGGCGGGTCACGCAAGCCCGGGCTGCTCGCGTGCCGCTCCCTGGGCTTCCCGGCTGCCGAGTTGGCCTTGCGTGCCGACAGGGCCGCGTGATCCGCCCAGGAATCCCACATTCCAGACGCCCTCCACGACTCTAGCCCGAGGGGTGCTGCCCTCCTCTCGAAGCCGGAAAGTTTCCGGCTCCGCAGTAACCCAGCGCTCCCTGTGCTGCGCGGAGACGGGATGGAGGCTCG